ACTCCTTGGCAAAATTCGAAATTTCACGGCCGACGAGGCTATATATATCCTCTGCACCATTTTGTGAACTTGTTTTGGTCCCTCTCACGTCCATCTTAAAGAACTGTCTCCCAGATTTGTGCACCGCGCTTTGCTTCCTCCGTCGAGTGTAAATATCAGCGTGGGTGTGTATTTGGTGGCCAACTGAGGCCAGAGAAGGTCGATGAGAGGTGTGGTCATTGGGATGAGGATGTACTTGGTCGTACTTGTAGACTTGATGAGACTTAGGAGTCAAACTCGTTGGGAGGGAAAATTTGACATGGAGTATTTTGAATCAGTGCCTCGTGGGCCAACTTATTCGATATTGCGAATTTGACTGAACTTGGCTCTGGGAGAATATTTCACTCCCAGGTTCGTGGAGGACACCGCGTACAGATGTTCAGATTTGCCCTCCCATGATCAGATCAGATGGTAGGGTCGAAGCCCTACTCATCACCAACCCTTGATCATGGAGAAGCCATCCGATGAGTTTCCGGAGCGTACCCAGCACCCGATACGGCGATGGTGGATTAGATCAGGTCTGCCTCGAATGTTGCAAAGAAGGGAGATATAGATGAATATGCGCACCTCATGTGTTCCCGGTGTCTAGGCCTTGCCTGACTGGGGCTGCAGGATTTTTGGATACTTTTTCCCGCGCACGCAGTTTCCATTGCTACCACTTTTTATTTTTTTTGGGTAGAAGGTTCCGTGGAATAGATGGCCGCATTCCAAGGGTAAACACTTAGCTGAATGGCTATTCACCACGGGCAATATATCAATGATCTTTGAGGTAACAAAAGAGGATAGGAGCACTGTATGGGATGTGGCCTGGGCCAAAGAGGAGCCCAATGTGCCAGATAGTCTGTAACTCAAGTAGTACAATAAACATACCTTTTCCTCTCCCTCGTGGAACAATGGCTAGCACTAGTTACTCGTCTGCCAGTACCCATGTTGTCTGGCTAAATGCTGGGATGTCGGGAGTGGGAGTGAGAGAATGGTGATGGTGATGCCTTGGGCTTTCAATCTTAGTGAGTACGTCACCACTTTGCTACATCCACTACTCCGACGTCTTCGCTAAATTGGATCTGGCACTCGGTAGCTCCCGGATTAACGCTCACGCTAATCTCTTTAGGCCGAGAGACAGGGGAGGGCCCTTATCCTGAGCAGATGGCATGGCGTTCGGACACCGATTAGGAAAGGCTCTCATCTCCTCTTGGGCAACGTTGAGTGTCCAGCTGCAAGCGTCCCCATGCGGCCTCCTCTGGGGTATCTGGATTGCAGCCTATGCCTCATCGAGACCCGTCCGGCCCAAGGCGGTTAAGAGAACTCATTCTCGCTGCAACTAAAATCCAAACTGGCTTCGAGTATGATATGCTGCAAATCTTCCGGGATCCCCCTAAAGAGAGAGGCTCGTGTGGCATCCATAGCCAAGCTTCGTCAGAGCCTCGACGGCCCCGCGCATCGGGGAGAGGAGCAATCGCAGTCGCTGGCGGCTGTAGGCGGCGCAGTGCAGCTTCAAATGGGAGATGTGCTTGACATATGCCCACCAACGCCTTGGACATTCTAGAATATGGGTAAGCGAAGTGGCTGACGCAGTGGCTAAGTAAGCCTATCATCCCACTGCTACATCCCATCCGCCGCCCATGGCAAGGGCAAAATAGAGAAATGGCTCAGCTGTACGAGGTATCCACCGCCACTTTCTGAGTACAAGAAGCCCCTTCCAGATATAGGGATCCCGGCATAGGTCTTGGGCTAAGAATGAACGAAGACCGGTAAGGCTCACTCAGGCGCTAGATTGGTACGTTCATTTTAGCTCGTTCTCGATATCGAGACCTCGCCCTCTATCATTGACGTTTCCCACTTCAAGGCGTTACAATTACTTGCCACTGTAGTGAAAGAAAACCCCCCCTATCGCCTCACTCTCTGCATCACTGCAGGAAGCCGGGCCTACCTTCGTGGTAGACCCCCGCATTCAGTGGATACTTGGTGCGTCTCAGAGTACCCTCGCCTTTTGAAAATAGGACGAGTCGAGAAGGCTCAACGAACCGACTAATTCTTTTCGCAAGACTCGATTTGTACGTGGAACTAGTGTTAAATTTAAGGGAGCTTTCTACCTCAGCGTGAATATTGGAAATTTTCCATAAGATTACGTTTTATGTGGGAGGACTTTAGAGCATGATCCCAGTATCCATTGGTAAATACTGATACCAAATAAAACTTCAAAGCTACCATCAAGCTTAAAGCTAGCAAGTAGCTTTTGTAAACCTTTACTTTGTTCAATGTATAGTTAGACGCAGCATGAGTGATTTGAGATCACATGTGTTGCTCTACTCTAAAATCTATACGATGTCTATTTCCACCTATTTGTTCCTAGCTCATCTTGAGAACATCAAAACTATCTTGCCGTCTACAAGTTTCGTAACCTTCTATGACTTCCCAGGCAGTCTGATGCTGGAGTAGATCCAAGTCATGGACTCTTCTGAAATCTGTATTTCCCGAAGCTGACTCTGACGGCATCTATCCTGGACGTGTTTCAACTTGGTGTTGGATTGAGCCTCGATTGTCTCCAAGTCTCGAAGCTCTAAAGTGAGCAAAAGTGTGATTTCATAGTCATGGACTCAGTAGAAACTTTTATTTATCTGTATTCTATGTGGAGGGATTCTCCAGCTGCTTGAGAACAAAGCTGGTATTCTTAGACGTGGTACATTTGCTACTCTTGTTTTGATCTTGAGAGTGGCTTACAGCATGTCGAGCTTTTTGTAGATCCTAAATGCCTCTAAAAACGACGGTCCGCTGATTAATTGTGGAACAGGCTGTCCATCAGGACTCACTCTTATCAACGTATAGTGAAGATGGAATCATACGCCTATCGGCTCTGGAGCCAAATGTCCGGCTTTTTCTTACTCTGCCAATATATTCTGAGCGACATCATGATCAAGACTCTTCTCCTGAGCCGGGGCTGTGATACTGGGATAAAGTTATGGCGGAATATTGCGGCGGAAAGGCTGCATTGCCTGAAGTAGCTCGGAATTGAGTGTGAGTTTGTCTGCAAGGAGGGAACCAGCTGCGGCCGTGTCGATGCCGGATCAATAACCAACACAAAGTCCTGATCCGAAGCGGCCAAGCCTGTCACCCAAAGACACGCTAGTGCCTTCGTCTAGACACGATGCCGATCGCATGGCTGAGCGTGCGCCATATACTGCCGGACCTAGACGCCCTCGAGAGGAAAGCTGGCGAATAAGAAAGATGTGGAAAGATAGAGCTTTGCTGGAAGCCCTGGAGACCTCGGGAGGAGAAGCCGGCCTGGTTTTCAAGCGACAGGCCTATGAGTTGTTCACAATATCACAACTAGCTTTGAATTTTAATGGCATGCAAGTACCCTAGACGATGATACGGTCGAGCTTCAAAATGCTAGGCCGGGACTACAAGTTTCTTGCCCAAGACCATGAGAATCAGGCCAGAACATCGAGAGTGAGGATAGCTTTGGCCAAATATGCGTCCAGTCCTCCCTACTGTTTTGGCATCGTGGAACGTGAGAATGAACGAGTCGATGGTTTAGAAGGAGAGGATACCACGTAAATTTACAGACAGCCTGCTCTACCTGGACTCGAGCTACTCGAGGAAATCAAGGCGAAACGACTCAAGTGTTTGGTGAGCCTGAGGTGCCGTGGTAGTCTAGAAATTAGCACCGACTCGATGCACTCCTGGCTAGCACGGCCACAGCGAGGAGTCTTCGATGGGAGAGCTTTTGGAAGGCTGTAGAGATGTTTGGAAGTAGGGAGACGAGACCGAGGAAGTGCTGGTGACGACACATCTCGGCCCACGAGCATATCGAGGCTCGAACAGGTGGCATTGTGCAGAGCATGGGATGTCTGGGCTCGCCGACGTATTTGTAGATGGCCAGGAGACCGCGCAAGAGAGGACGGTTCGAGTCCGGCAAGACACAACCACATTTCTCTTGACGCCGCTATACATGGATAATCAAAGGTTTGGAATTTTCCTTTGGTGGCTACTTGCGGAGGAGGGTCGGCTGTTTGTGTAAGCAAACAAACCTCGTGATGGTATTTTTGAATGAAATCCAGAGTATGGGTATCTCTAATGTCAAAAGAGTCATCTAAAATGTAAACACCGTACTGATTGCATGTCATAGCTAGATATCTGAAAACACGTTAGATGATTGAAAAAAAAGGGTAGGGTACGGGTCACCTAACGCGCTGAATCGAATCAAAGGACTCTCCACCAAATGGAGAGAGAGGAACTTCCCTGCAGCCGGGCCATGTAAGAGAGGGAACTCGAGGCGTGTATTGATGGGCAACGTTGGCATCATCGCCATGCGAGGCATTTCTCCCACGGCACCTCGAGAGTCCCTGGCTCAAGGTAAAGCTGACGTCCCTGCTGCAAACCGAACAACTCGATTCGACTCTGTGCCCTACGCAGCTCAGTTGTCAGTTGGTTTTGAGCGCCGCCCGTCCGCTCCGATAGGACTATCCGACCACGTCTCGTGCCAGATCGATTAGGTCGGGAGCGGTCAAGTGCGGGGGATGGCGAGAGGTGGCAAGGCAACGACGGATCGAGATTCAAGTGTCGCCTAACGAAGCTCTCGTCGATGACGCTCGCTGCGACGCGGCCCAACATCGCCCTCTTCCCTACCGCGTCTGCGCCGGACGGCACGCCACAGTATCTAGATTGCCAAGCTGATTGGCGTGGCAAAGGTACGACGGATACTGGCCTACTATCAACCCCCGCTGGCTCTCAGATGTTCCGCCGTTCCGACGGGGAGAGGTGGTGATGGCGCCGGCTCGGACCGGGCTTTCCCGGTCCCGGCTCCGCGGGTTCTAGCCATCGCGCCTGATCGTGACTCCGACTAGCTTGGCCCTGATCTTCACTACTGACACCTCAAACGCCCATCGCCAGAACTCACACGGTAGAGCCAAATTGTAAGAAAATAATTTTGGTTAGACTATCGATCACGCTGCGGCAGCTCACTGGACAAGCAAGTCAGAGAAGGACCCAGCGATCGACCGTGAATCACGCGCGCCATCTTGCCGCGGGGGATGAAGGATGGCCGCAGGAACAAGGTCGATTCTAGATTCAGGAGGATTCTTATTACCCAACAGGATGAAAATGAATGATATTGCTCTATTACCTAGCGATGGCCTGCATGATGCGTGCCCAAGTTGTGAAAGGATTCCAACCAAGCTAATATTGCAGACGGCTAACTCTCTTATGTGCACTGCTCCGCCGTAACAACACCCCATGGTTGACTCCCGTAACCAGAGATGACCGCCAGTTGGTACCGGCCGCTGCTGCACAATGCCTATGGTATGCTTCGACGTACCTCCAAGGATCTTTGCAGCCGAACGTCCCTTGGCAGCATAGTTTCGCGACTTCGCGAGCTTGCGAGACATTTTCGTCTTATCCGCATCCAGGATCAGGGCAAAAATATATTAACGCTCGACAGAATTTTGAGCAAGTGTCGGTGACGGTCAAGTCCACAAAAGGAGTCGATGCCTCCCTGTCCCAGTTAATTACATCTTTCCTATCAGGATCGTCTCTATTCTTCCCTGTGTATATCATGCGACGCGGCCTTCGGCTACCCTAAATCCCTCGCGACCTGATCTAGAAGTTGATAAATCAGCCCGCCAACCAGTTACAGAATGGCCGAGCCAAACCTGTCCACTTCCGCTCGGCCCCTATCATACCTTTCCTCGACATTAGTGACTGTTAAATATTCTACATAGAATACAAGTGCGGCATAAAATACAATCACAACATGTGAAACACCAAACTGCATGTAGCAACCCCCGTGATTTCAAGTTATCAAAGAAAAATGGTTATCTCAGAAAGACTGCGACGCTCCTGCTGACATTATAATACGCCGAGCCGTTCAAAAGCGAGCGGCCATGATGAGCCGGACTCTGCTCATTTGGTTCGAGTTGCTTGATAGAATATCGATCCCTTGCTCTTTTAAAGGCTGGATAGGTTTGGTCCAGCCAACCTCCCTAGCCAGTACCAGACAAGGAAACACACGAATAACCCTATTAGCGGTAATATTGACATAAGGTTATAAGTTTCGATCAACTTAAAGCCAGTTGAATTTGAACCAAGGGCTCTAGATTTCTGTTTTTCATGCAACGCGCGACTTGCTGATGCTGCTCTAGCACTTTTGAGCGTCGGAAATGGCAGCTCAAAAGAGACTGCTTTGGAAACGGAGACTCCTAGCCCAGACGGTTCTGAATAACTTCTTTGTAACATCCGTTCTTTAGCAACGCTCACACTATCTCGAGCAGTCATCAGTAGTCTTGACTGTCTCGGTAATGATGAGTTATCAAGGTCGTCTTCCTGTGTGCTCATCTCTTCGTCTAAATATCCAATTATCTCGATCATAAACTTGAATATTAACTGAGATTCCAAAACAATTTCAGATTTCTCATTATCCGATAGAAGCGTTTCTGACTCGTTAAATCTGTGCTTGAATTCACGCTTGATATCCTCTCCGTCATCATTACCGACAAAATGAAAGAAGCTAAGTTTGAAGAGCATCTCCTCGTCCTCATTTGCTGGGGGGGCTGGTGTGAGGATAGATATACTTTTTGAATCTGACCCAGAGAGTGTCTGTGATTTTTCACGCTTGCTATTCGTCCACATGTTCGAGTATGAGCTGAAAGGCGAAGGACTTTGGGCCCAAAAATTCGCACCACTTCCACCGGCTTCTTTTAGCGAAGCCCGTAGATATCTACCACCAGAAAACAGTGCCATATAAAAAACCCAGGCATATGCAAGCAGCAAGTGAGGATTTTCGGTAACGCTCTGCCTCATATGCTCTAGAAATTTGGCTAGAGCTCCTGTCGTGGAAACGAACATGATTTGTTCCTGAACTTCATCCTCTGTTACGCCTATTAATCTCTTGAGATCAGAGCGTAGTCTTCCAGTACGTAATAGTTCCGGAAGTCGAACTTTACAAAGGAGCGAAGATTTCCGCGAACATATTCTCGGAATATCCGGAAGAGAAGGTGAGTCTGAGATAGGTGAGGAGGGATTGCTGCCTGTATATGGATTTGGTAGTCCAGTCTCAAATGAAATTGGCGGGAAAGAGCTCCTTAGACTAGAGCTGCACTGAGAAGGATGTAAAATGTTATCCCATAATTCTTCAAAGGCAATGTATATTGGGGCAAAATGTAGCAGACCCGTGGCATAGACGGATGGATTTTGAGAGAATGGCGGCAAGGCTAGCGGTAGACGTTCGATTATTAGTTTATTTAAATGAGTGTGTCTTGCCCTATTAGCAATATTAACTATCAATGTTAGCAACCAAATATTATTTTTGAAGAGTGACTCACTTTGATCCGAAAGAGGGTAATTTTTTTCACTGATATCTGATGAGTTTTCAGGGCTAAAGTATTTTTGAGGCATTATGTAGGTGTAAGTATTATCGGGGATATGAAGGGGATTAACTTGTTCGCATTGTAGGGGCACCGGCGACATGAATGATAAGGGAAATGGGTTTTAGTGGCAAAATAAGGCGGTAACAGAAGTGGAACTGTGATACCCCTTGCCATACCCACATGATTAGTAAATATTAGTCCAGCCGTTTTGGCCTGAAGAGGTAGCTGCCCCCCCTCCACGACAAGGCTCCCTTTCCGGGTCATCCACTCAGCTCGTTAAGTGATAACCTTAAAATTTATGCTTTCCCTCTGTATGTCTCTTTGCCGGACAACCTCTTCTTTCCCCAGAGGTGAGATCTCTCTCAAATTAAAGTTCTATCTGAACATTTCTTGTAGCACTTGCCCTCCTTCTGCAACTGACTCACTTCCAACGGTTTTTCATGGAAATGAGATAAACAAAACGTCATAATTCACGCTCTCTCAAATATTGACTTGCGTGAATAATCAACAATCACCTCGATAGGTATTTCCTCACCCATCTGGTAGAGTCTCGTCATCTCTCACGTCCAACAAAAGAATAATTACATCACAAGACCTGGGATAAGCGAATAAAACTAGGCTTGAGATTTGATCGACCTCGGTCCTTCCAACCGGTTTGCCGGAGCCTACAGCGGGAAGACAAAAGAAGCAAAGATACTTAAACTACTAAAGATTACACAAAAGACCCCACAGCTTCCAACCCGACTTTGAGAATAGGGTGTGCTTTAACTGCTCCAGTTATTTATCATCTTTGATCGCTTTCGTCCAACGCTTTCTAGAGAAACGGAGATATAGAACGATATTAGTCGAGTGGCAACAACAACGAAGTTTGCAAAATTATCATGATCTGCAATCCTCCTCGACTTCACTCTCCTCGTTGGAGATACTTACCGCGGACATTAGCGCCTTGACGCCCTAGTACCCTCGAATAAATACTCACTCCCAGTGATCAGTTTCTGAGAATTTTTAAGTACGCTCTTAACTCGTAAATCAAATAGTATAGGTTCGGAATTCAAATAAGACGCCAGAGGAAATTCGACTGGTTTCTTAACTAGTCATCAAACAGAAGAGCAGACGCTGTTGAGGAATAATCCTCATTGGTAAAAAAAAGCTTGGCACACATCTCATTAACAATTAATATGCTTCCCTCTGGACCCCAGTTCGTGATGAAGACTCATTGCCAATCACCCTCACATTCGCCCGATAGTTGTGAAGAAGCCTTTAAAGTACATCGCGAACATTCTACTCTCTATCCGGAGCCCGCGTTTCCTGAACATTTGACTTCAACCACAAATATCTCCATAAAACCTTACGGCGATGGCTCTGGGTTTTCGTATACTCCACTTACGGCACGCGAGCACAGCATCGATTTATCACCCTACACATCTTCTCCTGGATCATCTCCCTCTCGTCCGTCATCCCCAACTTCTTCCACTAGTGATGATAAAGAACGGGCCTCTATCTCACCGCCCCGTTGTCTCCGACCATTACCAGTTTGTATTTCCCTCACTCGCCCACATTCTACAATAAAACAGATCATTCTGAGCGAAGGCACGTTTACAATTGAAGAATTCGAAAGTGAAGATTATGAAGCATGGGATCCAGTATCTGATGTAGCTATACGGCCATATCAATACGAAGATGCCGACAGCGAGCTCGCAAATGTCGGTTTTCACGATCTGGACCAGGATAAGACTAGTGATTTAGATTCACGAATTGCTGGAGAATTTCGAAATCTAACTACTGAAAATGCTTCTGATGATCACGAGGCTTGGGTAGAAGCTTCTCGCGCCGAAAGACGCCGACGTCGCCGAAGTTCTGTTCAAAAGCGCACATTATCAATGAGCATTGGCTCGGATACGGATGATGAAGATTTGCAGCCAATCATTCTAGAGGCAAATGAGGCAGGTAGTTCAGCACGACGTCTTCGCCGCAGGGTTTGTAAGCGAGTTAGTCTTATATTCGACGATCCGCCGGAGCGCATTGATGAGGAGGATGAAGGCCCCGAAATGGCTGAAGAAGCGGTAGAAATTGAAGGCGATGATGAGCTACAAAGGGAGCTCCCCTATTGGGGCTGGTCGCAAATTATGGATATAGAATCTGACTCCGATAGTTGATGATTATGATGATGATTTACGAAATTGATGATGATGATGATGATGATTAATAGACAGACCAGTGATGCAAGCGAACACTGTCCTTCAGCTAGACCTGGGTATGCATCTCGAAGACTTATACCTCTGATTCCAAGTGAATGCCGTTTCTTGTTGGTTTCCTTTGTACACCTGCTATACCTAGTTCCTTGTAGTAGATGGGAGAGACAGGCTAGCAACATTTGTTGATGGAGATCAAACTATACATACGTTGATGAGCGTAACTAGCACTTCGTCCAACGCATCTTGCAGGTGTTGCCGTCGTTAATCTGATGTGAACAACAAGAATAACATGAGGCGAGATAATCACTGAATGATCAGTTAGGCATGGTTATGGATTAAGGGGCGAGGTTAGAGCAGGGATATGGTAGAGGCGAAGGGGGTTAGGGACCAAGAAAGGGACGATTGACGGGCCATATCCGACAAGCCATGTATCGCCTGCTCGCAAATCTTCAAAGTTCGGCAACTAATGCCAATTTCTGATTGTTAGCACCAGCATCTCATGCGCCATCGCTGCCACAAAATATACCGCTATCACCATTACTTTCTACGGCCTCAGCTAGGAGTTTGCTCGTCGTTCGAGTACACGATACTGACGAGACAAGGTTTCAAGCAGTAGCACGATTTAGAGCATGGCAGACTGCTATCTCGTCAGCTCGATGACGGTCAGGGGAAGCGTAGGGGATAGCTCGTGTAGATCGTCGGTATCGCTATAGCCTCTGACCGCTCCAAACTTTAGGCGTGACGCATCAGGTGTCCGTCTGCGCGACTGTGGCCAACGATGTGACCACGCAGATGGAGCACCGGTAGCAATGGCCGTGGCGTAGAGCAAGTGTTCACAAGATTCGGTGGAAGCTAGAAAAGCTTCACGATTCCAGTGACGGTGCGGGGAGTTGAGTGGGAATGAGCGCAAGTTGAGGGCTAGTCTCGTCCGTGGTAGGTAGTGGAATAGGGGTGAGGGTAATAGCAGTAGCTTTCCATCATCCTCCGGCCGGCGGGCGTATGCTGCAAGGCTACGCGAGGCTGTGTATTGTACGCACACGGCCCTTACTAGACGCGCACACACTGCTCGGCTGAGCCCGATGGTGCGAACGACAATCGGAAATTATCCTGTCTTGGAATTAGTCGAGCGTCAAACCATCAACAAGAGCTGTACAGGAGTAGCTTCAAGGAGAGCCAGCTATTAGCAAGCCTAGGTACATGAAGCTAGAAGAATGGGTCGAAGCGAGTCTCAGACGAAATTTACGACACATTCCATCAAAGCAATGGGGTTAAGACATGCGACTAGATTGAGGTTAAATGATCCGGCGCTCTACTTGCCAGTAGGCGTAGGGCATGACGAGAGGAGAGGGTTGAGGAATTTTGAACATGAGTGATATTGGAATAGCGAGAGACTTTCCCAAACCGACCCTCTTTTTGTAAATCATTTAACGTGTATTCGGCTTCATGGTAATAACACATGATCCGTGCCTTGTATGAATTTTGAATGACACTCTTCACTTTAGAGACACTCAATGTATCAAGTCACTTGCATATACCACTATGAGGTATGTTTACCCGGGCAGAACAGTAGAATCTTCTCGGTGAGTGCCCCCGAAATGAAATATCAAATCCTTTGGCTATGCAAGCATGCCTTTGTCATTCCTTACAGAAGTATCGCGACAAATATGGTCGACTATTGCCAGATTTGAACGAGCGATCTCTCATCTCAAGTGGATTGGGTATGCAGACTCTACTTGGGAGACCAGCCGAGATGACATACCATTGTATCATCTAGCCATGACTGTTTGTGTATAGTCGTCTGCGCTTTCGCGGTTGAGTTCGTGGCACGCAAAATATTCATCAATGTGAGCAAATAAGATCCAGCTGTCGCGTGATTCTGACTTCAAGAAGGGAGGAGTTGGTGTGGCCGTGACGAGTATGAAATGCGAGATTGACTGCTGGTGGAGTCTTATCGCCCGGTCACGTCCCAGCCAACTGTCGCTTGATTGGCGACGTTGGGCCCGCAACTTTGATCACTGATTTCTCACGGCGAATCGATGTGGTGTTGACACAAATCTGGTCGAGGCTGGAAATAACGACTACGGATCCGCACTGACATGACCAGCTAGCTCGTGTGCAAGATAATCGCAGCGTGCTCGAAGATCTCGCGGTTGGGAAGCTTCCTGTTAGTTGCTCATGGGCGAGGCTTGACCGCGCTGTGTGTATAAACTTCCCCATTAGGGGTGTTTGCCGGCGACACGCAGAGCTTGAGTGTCATGAAGTCAAGAGGCTTTCCCACCACGCACACAGGACACCAGTCGTGTGTCATGGCCAGACACCTGCACACAAGTTGCATGATTGAGGGAAGAGAGTGGTCGTCGAGTCCTTGCGTGGTCCCGCTCGTGCCGAGTACCTCGCAACACGGTCAGCCACCCCCCCTATCCTAGCTCAGACTGGAGCGGTGCAATTTCCCTTCCGCTAACGTAGTGCAGTCACCGGGCGGAAAGATCATCGCCTATGGTCTCGGTAACACGGATAATGAGTGTCTCTGAACATGGCCGAGTCATTCCACCTGTTCACACGGCAATGATCATGTGCTGCAGCCAGGGAGCTGTGAAAATTTATTCTGTTCTTTGCGACATCTTGTCCACATATGCAATCGTCGACTGGAAGTGTGTTTGGCTCCCCTTTGCCACACCATGGTGCGGTCCCGGGCCCATATGTCATTGTTGCCTCTTACACTCCCACATTTCGGCCCTTCTTGTGCCGCAGTGGAGAGACGGGACAAGTCGAGGCGCCCGACTATCCAGTTGAGTCCACGACCATGCTGGGACCTGACGTCTTCCCCACGTGCAGAATGGGAATATCTGCGACTCGATCAACACACTGCTTTCCGTACCTTCTTCCTCGTCGCTGTCTAGTGATAAATTTGGTCTCTCGTAACCTTCCTCTCGAGCCGCTCCCACGCAGACTGTCCACAGATCTGCCGCCAAGGGGCATGCCATTCTCTGATTGCTGGTCACGCGACTCTTTTGAAACTGGTGCGGCTTGGCAATGAAGACCATGTCGACATGGAGGGTGACAGGCGTTATTCCTTTATCAGCTAGATTCATGCTGACTCATACACTGCCAGCCTCCCATCATCCTTAATAAAGAAATTATTCACATATCCTGATTTGGCGCCGTGAAGGCGCGTGCTGGTATTTTAGGAGCTCATGTATTCTATGTTGGACCATTTACTGTGTTGCGTGATGGCTCCTCGTTATTGTCGGTCTCAATATTCAATTGTGAGTCTTCAACCTCTATCAAACGACGCCTCACCTCGCCTTCGCGACCGATAGTATGTTGCTTCAATTGCTAACCAGCGCTTGCGCCCTCAATTACCAGCCATCCCCCACTACAAAATTACGACGCTGATTACACCCACAAGGAGGGGAAGAAGTGGCTGGATACAAGGCTCGGGAATTGTCTTGTGAGGGACTGTTGCTCCATTGAGACTCTACCTCTCGGGATGGGACAGGCAGTTGGGACGTGAAACGAATGGGGGCATTATTCTCTACTGCGAATGACGAGAATGATCTTCGCGGGTGGTTTTCAACTTTGGAACATTTGTGGGTGCCAAGATCAAGGTTTCGGCTGATCATATAGGGGGAAGTCTCTATCAATGAGTCTACTGCGATCCCCAGTACCCCAGGCGGCACAAATGAGTTGGGCTAAGCTACTATACAAAGATCACACTCTGTCAAGACTTTTCTGACATTTCATCACGTCTTTGGGAAAGAGCCGGAGCCAGGCTAGAGAGGTAGATAACGATTTTCCCGAGGTACACACAAGTCTGCAGCGCCCAGCTGGCCAGCCTCTTCGAACGCATCAGAAGGATCACTATGTCTTCCGATCTAGTCCTTATGTCGGTATTAGGAGAGCCTCGCACCCAGTGGTTTTTGCGATTTTTCCCGGCTGCCATACATCCGTAAAAAGCCATCATTTCGTTGGCTGGAGAGGGGAGATAATGAAGGGCCAAGGGCTCCTCTAAGTGTATGATTGAATGAGGACTTGTGAGAGGTGGTACTGTCTAAGGGGAGCTGCACAGGAGACATAGGAGGGGATATACTACTGGCATAGGTATCCTTGGCCTACAGACAAAGAGGACCTGCATGTCCTCTATAATCATAGACTCAGACAGGACAATAAAATGAAATAATAATAAAACAAAGGATGACTTGAAATTGAGGCTTTGATCAAGCTAAGAGGGGAATATGAGAACACAGAACAATGACGGAATCTACACTGGCACCAGTAAAGTGAGTGTAATTCCTTGAGGTATCACTTTAAAGGCACAGAATCCAATCAGATAGTCAAGGGTAATCTTACTGCAAGCTTTCCTATGTAAAATAAAAGTTTAGTAGATACCTGCACGGGCCCATAAGGCGCCAAGTCAGGATAATGAAATCAAATTCAAACCACAAATAGAATAATCTCCATCATCTAAAATTTCACCCCCTGCGTATAACTCTCGCCGCCAAGTATCGCTAATATTCCTTTAACCACACATGCGACATGATGCGAACTCTAATTGGCGAATCCGTCAATGCCGGACAAAGATGTAATCATGATGATATTATCCAGCTGTCTTGGTTTGTTGCTTTTTTAGATGATGTTATGTGCTATGTGCATGTGCTGTGTGCTGTGTGCTGTGTGCTGTGTGCTGTGTGCTGTGTGCTGTGTGCTGTGCTGCCGTCCCGAATACTTACCTCTGGCGGCTGGGGACTGAAGGAAAAAAGACACTCTTTGTGGTCAAGTGTGGAAGCAGCAACAACTCGGTTCCCAAATATTCATCAATAAATCCATTTTTATTCCAAGTTCCACAATTCTAGAGTCTTGCATTACTAAGCTGCGGATCAAGTTCTAGAGGCCAACATTCACCCATTGCTGACTGGATCGAACTTTGGAAAATGAGCTGTGTGTTTTCCATTCTACTTGTTGCCCTAGGACGGATGGTTGTCACGGGCTCAGACTATGGAAAGTCAAGTTATGGGGTCTATCAAGTTTCTGAGGACTATGAGTTTCTCATTCCAGAAATCTCGCAAGAAATACATGTATCGGGAAGCCAGATCAACGGGCCCGGCACACACGTTGTCGCATATTGCTCTATCGTGAAAGGCGTCGATGAACTGGTTGCGATAATCACCGAACCTCTAACGAAGATAACCCACTTGCCAGAACATGGTAGCCAGAAATATGAGGCTTCATTAGAGACCTGTTCGAATCGCATCGTGGCTGAACATGTGGAAGATACACCACTTCAAATGTCTGAACTTGTAAGGGAGAAAAGCTGTACGGAAAAGAATGTTATGGATCTCGCCTACCAGGGAAGTATAAAAGTCATCGGAAAATATTCATGTTTTGCGCCGTCGGGTAGTATTTCACCTATCATTGTTGATGCTGACAGGCCTTTAAGCATGAAAGATTTTCTCAATGGGAGAAAACTACTGAAGGGAGAAGGAAGTCTGGCCTCCAAGAAGAAAAGTGCTAGCGAAATAACAAAAATTCCAGTCAGGCTAATGGAAAGCTTGAATGAAAAGAAAAAATTGCTAGAATTTGTCAAAGGGATGGAAGATCCGACTGATCAGACGGTACTGGTTTGGTATCAGGGAAATCTGCATCTCTTACGTCGTCGACCCTCTGCATTTCCAAACGAAAATTTGTGGTATCCACTTACTGCTATTGGGCACGAAATACGAAATGCGCCATTGATTGCTAGATTCGTGAACAAGAGCTTTCCCAAAATTGACGCGTTTACTAGAAAAATGAAACAGTTCAGGACTTCTTTTGTGAGAAATGAATCACCCAGAAATGAAGAGATAGACATCATCAAAACTACAAACCAGGAAGATTATTATCGCAAGCTCCGCGCTTTTGTGAATCGACCCACATATGTTTCTAAGCCTGGCTTCAGAACAAGACGGATCATGTACAATAGAAGAAACCGTGATGCGTCTCTTTCAAGCAAGGACTGTCCTAACTGTCCACCTCGGTATTACCAGTATACCAAAAATAAGTTTTTGGATTCTTTCCAAGGAGAAATTATTCCACTACCGAGTCAGTCTAATACTGGCACACCTACCGCAAAATTTACAGAAATCAACGGCTTTGGACAGTTATGTAGTCCATCAGACTGAGTGGAGCATCCAATGAATAAATCATTGAGATGTCCGTTCACCTCTCGAAATTTGAAGGGCATCGGGTGTTGTATACGCAAATAAAAGTCAGTCAGTGTATTCTTCTTGAATCGATCGTTTTGTATCCTTTGTTATTGTTGGGATAAATGAAGAGAAAACTTCACAAAGAAATCAATTTACCAAGAGGATATCAGTAGATTTCATTTGTATGGGACGGTTTATTATTAATAATTGAATTGTATCCTGTTGAAATTGGTGCTTCCAATTATGGCAGAGAAAGGGATTTGTAGAATACACGTTACTAATCTCCCATAAATCGTGAGGTTAGTATTGATGCGCTCTGACGTAAATACTAAGCAGTAGATTTTCTTATTGCAGACGATAGTGTATATAGCACTCTATGCTCTAGTGGGAGTAATTAACAACTCTCCATAATAGATTTACAGACTCCTCTATTTTCCCACTTGCTTCATCAAGTGATGTATTCTGTGCTTGACAGCCACAAGCTTTTGCAAACCTAACCGCTCAACATATCCATGTTATCCAAGGTATTAAAATATGGAAGATAACCTGTAACAAACCAAGGGGCTTATTTCATGAGTAGTTTATTTTCATCTTCTTAGCTTCTGCAATGAACTTTTACCTCTAGTCTTGTTGACCACAGAGCTTAAACTGGTGCAAATATGGTATGCACCAAGCATCAGTATTTACGGTATCCTAGGTATTATCCGTGGATAGTTATGAAGACTCTTCAGAGCCTTAATTGTCTCCTGTATTCGTATTCAGCCGATATCGCTGTCGCCTTGATCTTTGTTTAAATTATTTGCTGTGGATGAAGCTAAAAGCTACGATTTAAGCTGGCAAAGACGAATACTATTCCCTTCAGCGGTGCGGACGTGAATGCTGAATATTGCGAGGGGACCGAGTTGGTAATGAATAAGTCGCTTACTAAGCCTTATGAAGAGAAAAGATATCTCTTTTTATTGCATTAGATTTTAATTGCGTATCCAAATATCTAACTATGACACAATATCAAAGAATAGTGCATAGTAGATGACTCAATTATAACAAGAGCACTCGTGCTTCGGATTTCATTTGCAAGTACCACTGCGAAGTCATGGCGGCTTTTTCTTCACCCCAAGTCAACCCTCATCCGTGAATACCCACCCAGGGGGACGTCTCAAAAACCCTGAGTTATCCAGAAATGCCTCCATCATTCTTTAAATGTCTCCGCTCGAATTATGGTATAGGCGTCTCCTTCTCAAGTGTCGTAGGTGCCCAGTCTATTCGAACCATACTAGAGAACACCACCAGGAGGCTGACCACGGCACCTTCCATCGTGGACTTTTTATTATTTTTTTTATCATTTAATGTGTATTCAGCTATAAAGCTATGACACATGACCGGTGCTATGTATACATGTGGGATGACTCTTTTGACGTTAGAGACACTGATACTCTGGATTTCATTTGCAAATACCACTATGAGGTATGTTCGCTTACACAAACAGTCGACCCTCCTCCGTGAGTACCCACCAAAGGGAATTTCGAAACCTTTGGTTATCCAAGCATGCCTTCGTCATCCATGTATACCAGCGTCGCGAGAAATGTGGTTGTGTTTTGCCGGATTCGAACCAGCGATCTACTGTCTCAAGTGGGATATGTGTCCAAGCTATCCAGACTCTACTTGGCAGACCGTCCAAGACGATGTACCACCGCACCATCCAACCATGGTGGTGTTTATAGTGTCGCCTGCACTGTCGCAACCGAAGTCTTGGCACGCACAAAGCTCAATTTGTAAAAACTCCTTGCCAAAACTCCACGCCCGTCGAGACTGTGTCCAACCTTCGCATCATCTTGTGAACTTGTCCTGATTCCTCTCACGTCCATCCCAAAGAATATTCTCCCAGATTTGTGCGCCACGCTTTACTTCCTCTAGCGGGTGTAAATATCGGCGTGGGCGTGTATTTGGTGACCGGCTGAGGCCAGAGAAGGTCGGCGAGAGGTGTGGTCATTGGAATGAAGATGTACTAGGTCGTACTTGTAAACTTGATGAGGCTCAGGTAGGATTCGATTTTTTTTGGAATGAAAATTTGACGTGGTGGAGATATTTGAATCATTGCCTCGTGGGCCAACTTGTTCGGTATTGCGAAATTTGACTGAACTTGGCTCTGGGAGAATATTTCACTCCCGGGTTCGTAGAGAGCACCACTGATGGGTGTTCAATCTTGCCCTCCCCATCGTGGACTTGTGTTTATAGTGTCAACTACACTCTAGCAAGCGAAGTCTTGGCGCGCATAAAGCTCAATTCGAAAAACTCTTGCCAAAATTCGGAATTTCACGCCCTCCGAGGTTATTTCCATCCTTTGCATCATCTTGTAAACTTGTCCTGATCCCTCTCACGTCTATCCCAAAGAATTGTCTTCCAGGTTTGTGCGCCACGATTTGTTGACTTTAATGGGTGTAAATATCGGCGTGGGCGTGTACTTGACGATGAGCTGAGGCCAGAGAAAGTCGGCAAGAGTTGTGATCATTGGAATAAATAGCCGGTAAAGACGAATTCTTCACCTTTCAGTGGTGCTGGTGTAATCGCTCAGTATGCTGTGCATATCTGGGATAGCCAAGAAGAATGATATCCGAATCGAAGTCGAAAGTAACATCAAGCACATCTCCATTTGACGACTTCTCGACAATGTCTCTCTTACCATACTCATCTGAGTCCTCAACCTCTCTCTAATCATGCATCATCACGCCTCAACGACCAATAGAGAAGTTGCTCCAATTGCAAACAGGAGCTTGCCCCATAAATTTCCAGCCACCTCTCGCTACATACTTACGATGCTATTTGTACTTGTAGGGAGGAAATCAAGTCGAAAAATACAAAGCCTGGGTTTTGGCTTATGGGAGACTATTTCTCTAGTGATGTGCTACCTCTTGAGGGGGGACAGGCGTCTGAGATGTGGAGCGAGAGACGGGAATAGGTTGGTGAAGAACATTCTCGGACTGACATATTCAAGGGGCTTTCAACTTTGGATCATTTGTGGGCGCCAAGATCAAGATTTCGGATAATTAGCCAGGAGGCCTTCTATTGTTGATGAGTCAACGGCACTTCTCGGCGCCCTGGACGGCACGAAAGATGTTGGGCTAAGCTGCCATACAGCAATCACGCTCTGTCAAGACTTTTCTGACATTTCAGCACGACCCTCGGGAAGGAGTTGGAAGGATGCTCGAAAGGCAGAATGTGAATTTCCCGAGGTACACACAAGTCTGCAGCGCCCAGCTGGCCGGCCTTTTCGAACGCATCAGAAGGATCACTATGTCTTCGGATCTAGTCCTAATGTCAGTATTAGAAGAGCTCCGGACCCAGTGGTTTTTGCGATTTTTCCCGGCTGCCATACACCCGCAAATGGCTATCGTTTCGTTGGCTGGAGAGGGGAGATAATGAAGGGCCAAGGGCTCCTCTTAGTGTATGATTGAATGAGGACTTGTGAGAGGTGGTACTGTCTGAGGGGAGCTGCATAGGAGGCATAGGAGGCATAGGAGGGGATATACTACTGGCATAGGTATCCTTGGCCTACAGGCAAAGAGGACTTGCATGTCCTCTATGATCATAGACTGAGACAGGATAATAAAATGAATGAAAAAAATTTGGAATGAAGATGTACTAGGTCGTACTTGTAGACTTGGTGAGGCTTAGGTAGGATTCGATCTCTTTGGGAGTGAAAAATTGATGTGCTGGAGTATTTTGAATCATTGCCTCGCGGGCCAACTTGTTCGATATCCCGAAATTTGACTAAGCTTGGCTCTGGGAGAATGTTTAAAACCCAGGTTCGTAGAGGACACCGCATACAGGTTTTCAGTCTTGCCCTCCGAGAAATCCCATCTGTACATAGTAAAGAAAAACCCTAACTAGTACATTAACAATAGTAAGGAACTCAAACATCCACACCTAAATTATCTCATACATCGGGACTCATAAATCTCTAAATCATCTCTATCATTAAACGACGAAGTTTCAACAAAATCCGCACAGCTAATCGATGAAGTCGATCGAGATGGTGGGGAAAAGTCAATTATTTTACAAGAATCAATATACTGTGATCATTGCCGAGATTAGAATACCATCGTCTGATAGCAGCGAGGACAAGACACGGCGATTTCAAGGGCTAACATGATAGATCCGGGCACGAAAATTTCGACGGCATATATATCTAGAGAAGAGAAAGACGTCCATGGCACTTTGCAGAGTATCGAATAGATCGGCGACAATGGAGAATATCCAGGCATGAACCATCACCAAGAGGACGGGTTATTTTGGCAGAAAACGGATGAGAGAAATTGTTGAAGTACATAACCGTAAAGAGATATTATGGAGAGCAATTTTTAGATCGAGAGGGTTAAACTATATCGAGAGACTGCTACGTTTTAGCAACCTGTTATGCAAGCGGGCAAAGTGCTGGGTGGTTTTTGTCAAGGCAATTTTCTTTATCTATCCTTATGTACTTACTCAACCTAGAAAGAGGGGACTGTTCTCAACACCTGTCAGTGGTGTCCCTGCGAACCTTCAGCTCTCACTATAGAGTCTGCAGAGTCGAGATTGAGTAATACCTTTTCAACTTTGAGCTGAGTTATCTCGCCCTCCGTCAAGGATACGCTTCGGATAACACATAAGACGACTAAGACGATGATAATGATGCTGGGAATGAAGAAAGATAATGCGGTACCAAACGCTACAATGGTAGCCAGAGAAGCCCTCGTTATATCACAACATGTGCTACCCACTGGCCGGCAAACAAAAAGCCCACGAAAGCAAAGTAAAAGACCTTTCCGCCCTCAAGAAAAGCAGATTTCGAATCGTCAATAATATCGTCCCTTCTGATCTATACTTCCAAATATACTAACTAGGAGGCTATCTGAAATATATGAGCTACTCGACAACCCGTGTCCGTAATGGCTTTTGGATGCTAGGCTAGGCTCCTTCACGACAGTCACTCTCGACCA